CTGTGGCCTCCCACACAGCAGCCCTGTGCCCCACTGGGGCCCTCGCATCCCCGCTGCCCAGGAGCCCCATCCCCAGCCTGGGCTTGGAGACTAGGCTAGTGCTTCCTGCGGCCAGAATAAGGGCACACCCCAAGGGTCACTGGCTGGCTGTGGAGCCCTGAATTTACAACCCATGCATGCTGTCCTTTCCTTCCGACCCACTTCTGATAGTGTCGGGTGTCCAAACCACTGCTGGCTTTATGGTCTAAAGAAACTACAGTCGTTTTAGAACAGGTACCGGATAGATGGAACTCCTGCAGGATGTGCTGTGGGACATGCTCAGGCTGCGCACACTCCCCCTCCCTGCAATTAGCTACTTCAGCATCCCCAAGCCCGGATGTCAGGCAAGTCTGTCAACCTCTCCAAGAGACATAAAGGTCTCCAAATGTCCCTCCACACGGATGGGCTGCCACTGTCTGGGACTTCCACTGAGTTCTGTGCTCCATCTGGCTACCTGCAAGCTACCATGGGCTTCAGAAGCAAACAGCTCCTTCCCAATTCCTTCAGGTTGCAGTGCAGCTGTTTTTGATGTGGGTGTTTTATAAGCTACTAGACCCATAGCAGCATTGATGGGTATAGGAAAGAACTCCAACCCACTGAAAAGTTACCAGCCTTTTGCAGAGAGCTGCCAAGCCTGGCTCTCCCTGGGCAAAGCCAAAGGGATATGAGAGCCGAGCAGGCAATTCCAGCATTAGCCTGTCCCTGGGAAGGATGCTGGTATAATATCCATTGCACTGGCATCCTTGGCTGGAGTGGAAAAGGAGACTCCTCATCTATTGTGCCTTGCTGACAGGCAGGTACCACTGCTCCTTCGAGGCAGCGAGGAGGCGGTACCCCTGAAATACTTTTTGTCCTTAGAAATAGCACTGCTCCATCTTTTTTCCTAAAGCAAGTTGTAAACACAGGCCATATATTCCCAGGACACCTCTGGAGATGTCTTAAAATCATCCCTGATAGGCATCTTTTTCCACAAATCCAGGGTGCTCCTAAAGATCTGGAGATGAAGGTCCTGTTAGGGACAGGATTGAGACTGGGCCGGTGAGCTGCAGAGTGCCTGCATTGCATATGACACTCCTGACATCTGGAGTGCTTTGTCAGCTAGATATAGCAGTGGTTTTAATAAAAAAAATCAGTAAAAATGAGGTGCAAAGAGATACTGAGTCAACAGGAGACGATGGTTTAGGACAGGAAGTGAAATTTTTGGGAGGAGGCTAGGCAGGCAATTGCCTAACTGGATGTGGTCCAAGGCAGTGCTAGTGCGAGCGCCACTTGCAGAGAGTACTGTGGTTGTATCATTACAGACCACAATAGCTTCAAAAATAGCCATGAACAAATACAGCAACAAAATGAGCAGCAACAAAGCAAATCACAGGCACGTTCCCAAACAAAAAGCTGAGCTGTGCTTCCGGCAGACATGAGTTATCTCTCTCTTCTTAAGGCAGTAGTGTGGCTTTAATCCAGCTGCATTTTATCTAACATTTGAAATTGTGGCTGTGTTGAAGTGGCATCAGCAGCTCTGGAAGTTGGCTTAGAAACGCTAAGTTACTACAGAATATAGCCATGCATATTGCTTGAAGACTAAGATAATTTTTAACCCATTTTTAAAATCCATTTGTTCTTAAATTTGTTGACAGCCACTGTGCTTTCCCTCTCATCCTTTCTGAAGCAGGACAGCTTTTGATTCCAGTCATTTTTGGACCTGCAGTGGTTGTTTCACTGCTCCAGCCATTCAAACAGACACCATCCAGCAGTTCATTAGCCAATCTCTTAGGTTGTTTGCAAGAAAAACCTGAACTCACAGCAATAAAATGAGGACTCACCCATGCTGTCAAGGTGTGAAGCGAGCAAGAAGAGTTTGAAAGAGGTGCACACATGGGGGTAACAAGACCGTGGGTCGGGAGCAGCTGCCCTGCTGCCTGTACTGCCCGGGAACAGTGCAGCACCTTGCTACAAGGCAGCAGTACCATGAGTTTCCCACATCTGGTCCCACATGCTGACCACGTCTGCACCTTTAGCAAGGTTATTGGGAGGGTTCGCTCAGCCCAGTGCATTCAATCTCTGTCGTTTTTTTCCTCCAGCAATGGTTCAAGCAGCGCCTGGCAGAGTGGAGGAAGTCTGAAGGGCTGCCCTCAGAAAGCGGATCTGTCAGGGACTAGAGGATGGTGCTCCGATCCCCATGACTGCTGTAAATGATGGTGAAGCTCTTCAGAGCGGGTTTTCTTGCAGTTCTTCTGTTGCAATAGGTTTTGAGATACAAAGTAATAGCCTGCTATTTAACATGTTTTATTTAAAGTGTACATAACCAGCAAAAAAAAAATATTATATATACATATGTGTGTACAGCTTCTGATGGCTGCTTAACCAGTCTAGTGATTCCCATCCATTAACAGCAGCTGCACAGGGCAAGGCAATCTCATGCCCTCGTCCCAGGCTTGCAGAAAAGCTGCCATGAGAGGCTCAAACATAGAAGTGGGGAAAAAAGATTTATTTTCCTTATGATCCCCAGAAGCAAAGTATGTATGCTAGCTTTAATATGCAGATCATCCAGAGAGGAGGGCACGTGGAAAACCAGATGTGTTGTCCAGGTGATCTTGGGTTAGGTCAAGATGCCTGAGTCAGCTCTGGATATTGGCAAATCGAGTGCCTACAACATAATCAGACCAAGCCAAGCCCCCCTTGAATGCATTTCTGGCATTTCTGTTAAAGGTCATCAAAGGGAAAGAACTGGTCATCTTTTTTTTTCCAATGCATTAATAAAAAGCCAAAGTTTTTTGATGAGAGAAGCTGTGTTATATCCCTGCTTGTGCTCCCTGCCCCAATGGCAGGAGGCAGACCCCTTCCTCTAGGAGGGCAACACTTTTCCAAGGCAGCCGCAGCGGGCACCGTGGGTTTTCCCTCTTGCCACAGGAACAGCCCACAGACATGGGCAACCTCCTCTTCTAGGGCACCCACAGGTCCGTCCATGGCAGCCCACACACACCCCAAGCCCCGAGGTGGCAGAGGCTGGTGGTGCTGGGGTTCCCCTGGGGGCGGGGCAGGGGGCCAGATCCCAGTCTCTTTCTGGCCATTCTCAAGCCTGAGGGAGGCAGTTGCACTGGGGCTCCTGCACAAAGCCCAAATTCTCATCCATCCTGGTACAGAACAACACATGGGCTAAAAAAATAACCAGCACTGCTGCCCAGCAACCTTAGCTGATTCAAAAGGGTTCACAAATCCTCTGCTTAGTGGATTACTGAATCAATTAGTGGATCCTCTGATTAATCCCCTTATGGTTTGTGGTCACCTGCCTCTACTCCGGAAGAAGAATCAGCTTACCACAGGGAAGATTAAGACACACGGGCACTGAAACTGCCATGTGCTTCGATTTACGGCTTTTGTGCCTTGCTGCAGAGCATCTCTCTTGCCTCAGTATCTCCAGCCCATCGCCAGTGGCTGGGCTGCCAGTGCAAAGCACACCGAACTCACAGGAAACAGATGAAAGCAATCTCCCTGCGCCACGTCCCACGCAGGGCATGTTGTTCCCCTGCAATCCAGTTGCCAAACTGAGTCACTCTCAGACCTCACTGGAGCTCAGAGTTTGTTCTGCAGAGTCTGGCACTGATATCTGTTTTCTTCTTAGTGTTTGCAATGTGCCCTCTCCCTCACACAGAGGGGAACTCTGCTTTTTTGAGTTACGCTCCAAAAATCTCAATGCAGAGCTCCATTATCTTGCCCAGGGTCACACAACTGAGTATCTGAACTGCACAGATTTAACCCACCCGCCTAACCTGTATCAAAGATGCATGCAAAGCAAAAGGCTGGATCTGCCCATTCTCCACGCTTTTGAGAAAACGGGCCCCAAATCCAAGCCAACTCAATGCACAGGCCACGCCAGCACTTCCAACGCCTGTACTAAAGCTTTGCACCTTAATAAATCCAGCCCTGGATCTGGAATTTTGCAGACTTTTGTGTTTCTGCTTCTGTCACAAACACAAAACTTTGAGTGCCACTCAGAAGATCTCTAAACTTTAGCAGAAATTTTGAAAACCAAGGTCAGAAGTTGTGTTGCATCAACCTACTCCGTGCCCTCAGCTTTAGTTTGCCACGTTTCTTCATGGAAAAGAACAGTTCCTGTGCTGGCTTCCCCCTGCCATTGTTTCATTACTTCTTTAACTATTACAGCAAAAAATAAGAAATGTGATAAACTCCAGACATAACGCATCCCAGGGAGAGCGGCTTCCCACATTAGGTCAAATTCTGCTCATTTCCCCTGATGACTATTTTGTTCTTCAGGAGTGAACCATTTTATTTAACTCCTCAGATAAGACCAGTAAAAGTGGTTGCTCCTAAGAAAGTGTTCATGCTGGGTGCTGCCTCTGCACCGTGTTCAAGTAGGTTTTCCAGCCACAACACAGCCTGAAAGAGGGTGATGTCCCAAGAGGTGATGGGGGCAGCTGGCACGAGGAGCAGGCTGTGTTTCTGAGGGAGCTCAGTGCTTAATCGGACGAGCCAGGTCTTGGATCCGAGCAGAACAACTTGCCTTCTTAGCAGCCTCCTTCACTGTGAAGGCTTCTGGGTTGAACTGAGCCAAGCGCATAGGAATCCTGGGGGAGCGAGGACAGAGCCAGTCAGTTCCAACCGGAGGGGAGCTGCCTGCCAGCTGACACACCTCCACCTGAGCCCTGCCCTTCCCTGGCAAGGGGGGACAAAAGCAGTCAGGCCTCTGCTGCTGTCACCAGGATGCTAGTGCGAGGGAATGCTCCATCTCTCACTGAAGCTGTCACAGCCGCTACAGCCAGGCATTCCCTCACCCTCTGTGAAACATTCTACCCAGCACTTCCTGCAGCCCAGGCTGAGGCCAGATGCATCATGCTGGACGACATGAACGTGCTACACTGTTCCATGCATCAGCTGCTTGCTTTTTATAATTGCAATTAATAATTAAGAAGTCCAAACCAGTAATTCCTACTGAAATTAGAAAGTTTCTATTTCTTCTCTTTTGATTCTCCTTCCACCTCAAAAATGCTTTTTAAACCACAACTCAGGTAGCATTAGCACACCCAGCCACATAAAATCCATGCATTTTGCAAGTGGAAGAGCAGTGGCTTAATCAGGCTGGCCAAACCCAGATCAACAAGGTGCCATGGCCTGCACAAAATGGGCTGTCGGCTGATCATCTCCCATGGCAGAGAAGCAGCACTTATCTTTTGCAAGGCCGGGCCAGTTCCACGAGCCTTGGTGTGACCACCGCGTGCTTTGCAGCCTTTGTCACTGGCCACTCAGCGTCCCGCAGGGGTACACAGTCAGGGTGTAATCTTTTTGCCCTAGCCAGCTCCAGCGTCCGAGGGCTCGCGATAGCCTCCAGAGCCCACTTGGAAACCTGTGGAAGAATGGGGAGGAAGGTCCTTACAGGTGCTCCTGCCATTCAGGGGTGACCAGCCTGCAATTCAAGTGTTCACAGCCACTGATCACACACAGATGGGACATGATCCTGTCCACTGCTGTGTCTGGCACCAGACAAGCTGTGGAAGGAGAAATTGCTACCTGGCCAGTCCCACAACCTGCCCTCCAGCCTCCTCTTACTCATAGCCCTTTGTCCAACCCATTCCCCAGCACTGGAGATCCACATTAGACATTTTTCCATCTATCCCCAACCCCACAACTGTGGGCTAGGCACAGGTCTGCCCTTCTTTGGGGACGTCTGCTGGGAGTCAGTTCATGTTCTGGATGGAGGACGAGTCCCACTCTCCAGCCCAGGAAGCAGCTACGTCAGCCTCACAGACAGCAGCACATCCAGGGCTGCCATGAAGAGAGCCACCAGCGACCGTGCACCCGTGTCCTCCTCTCTGCCCGGTGTCCCTGCCACTCATGGTGCCGGGTGACGCTGCCTTACCGGACGAATGACAGACTCAGGGAAGCCGTGCTCATAGCAGTGGGTCACCTTCCTGACCCGGGGCTCTGCGAGACGCTGTAACCGCGAGGATGCTCTGGCCAAAGCCGCCACATTTGTAACCCGCGTTGGCACCTGCACGGGTTCAGAATGGGGGAGGGATGTGCAGATGCACAGCTCGTCCACCGCAGCCCACAGGGACACACTCCTCCAAAGGGAGGCGCACCCAGCACCCTTCTTCTGCAGACATGGTCACAAGGAGCACCCTCACTTTCCCACTAGTATAAGGTAATTTTGGTGCTACTAGGATTTGTATATCTTTTTTTCCCCAGCTGACACCCACTCAGCCATGAGAAGAATGCCTGTAACTAGAGCTCATGTAGCCAGGTAAAAGTGCAGAGAAATTTCTTCCAGAGTAATATTTTTCATATAAATCTTTCTGACTGAATCAAATAATTTCCCTGCTAAGGAGAGACGCTCAGATTTCAGGGTAATAGTGCTTGTGCAGTTAACTGCATTCCTACAGCAAAAGAGATTACTGCTCCAGCATGGGACTTCTTCCCCCATTTTTCACAGGGTTACTGATGCCAAGCCATGCTCCAGCACAGCCTCCTTTATTTCCCAGCCCACAGACTACAGCCAGAAAGGCTAGCCTTTGCCATGGAAATGAGTGTAATCCAAGATTGCCCCAAGCCCTTTCACCCCTACCAAAGCAATGACCTAAAAGGAGCAAGTTCAGAAATGTGCCTCTAAATTAGGCTTCTGGTAAAACACTGTTAAAGTATACGTAAGTGTTTGCAGGCTCATGCCCCCTATATACACAGATAGGAGCACAGCTGCCCAAGTACAAACACGACTGTACTCCCTAGGAGCTAAACAGGCCGTTCCCATCAGGTTTCTCCACTTTCCCAGGCTGCTTTATCAGGGGACGCAGCCCAGATGCCTCCCTTGGCTCTCCTGCTATTCTAGGCTGCTCCAGCTTGGCTGTTTTCTGTCTCTCAGTAGGGAGATTTTCAAACACAGCGCCTCAATCTGAAAAGGCAGTTTCTCTCAGTATCACAAACCCCAGCAGAACCAGGCAACTTCTCCCCTCCATATCACACACAGGGCATATCAAGGGGCAGGATACAGGGTGTAAAAACTCAGGACAGTTTGCTGCCTCACTGTCACCTCCAAACCTCACTCAACAACCTCCTCACCTCTCTGGCTGGCAGGAACTCTGGATGCAGCACCTTTGGCTGGGCAAGCTCCAGAATCCGTGGGGAGGCCTTATAGCGCAGCGCAGCTGGTGACACGGGCCACTCAGGGGACTGGTGAGGTCTGGAAGCAGAGAGTCATGGCACAACCACTCATGGGTATTCCCACAATGGTTAAACCAGGCTGTAGCTGGGATGTTTAAACCTCATGTTTGCTGCAGTACAAGGCAGCTTTGTCTTGTGGACATTTCCAGTGTAGAATCTACTCATCCCATGAGAGAGTCCAGAGGTCCTAAATCCAGCAGAGTCCCTGCTCTGCATTTTGCCCTCTGTTATACCCATCCTCTGTTCCTGTACTTATTACTTCGAAGCTGCACTGACGCTACAAGACCCAAGGGCCTACCTATAGCACCCTACAGGCTTTCTGGCCTCTCACCTTTGCTGCAGGTAAGCAGCCTGGTATTTTTTAGGTTCAGACAACTTCAGCAGCCGATCAGAAGGAAAGCTAAAATCCAGTAGCAGGGGACACTCCCAGATCATTGATTCCCATCCGCAGCTGTGCAAGAAGTGGGATCTTGAGGAACAATACAGATGAGCTAGTAAAAGGCAGAGAATGTGATCCCGGCAGATGGTACCCCAAGTCTGGTTAAACATCTGTGCTTGATCAATGTACAAAAGTTGGCACTGGCACACAGGGAAAAGCCATGAACAAATGGGCATTTACACTTGAGATTTCCTGACTTTAAAGGTAAATGCTGTTTGTGTATGCGGAGTCCTCTCTTAAGCATCCTCGTGCATTGCTTTCAATGGTTTCCCTGGACCATTTCAAGAAGCCACTCCACAACACAAACCTGGCAGTATCTCTGTTGTTCAACTCTGCCAATTTAGAAACCTCTTTGTTCCAATGGCTTAACAGCACGTTGTGCTCTTGCAGCTCCTTTCATCTTGGGATCTCCCCAGGCTTGCCTAGTGAAGGCTCATCCAGCTTTCCATCAGCCACAACTGTTGGAAGTTGCCTGCCACTACCAGGGAAGAGGTGAGCAGAGGCAAGCAGAAAGGCAGGAAGGGCTGTCAGACGGACACTGTTACTTAGATACAGAAGCTCTGAAGAGGATGAGAGCCCCTGAACTGATGACAGCGGCAAAGGAGAGAAAACTACAGACACACATGCCTTGACATCCCTCCAGGTAGAAGAAACTCAAGAATGCACCATGGTTTCATCTCCATTCTCATTGCTAGGTCTTCTTACAGACCAGCAACCACCATCCTATCTCCAAAAGAGCTTCATTCCCTCCAACAGAGCTACAGATGAGTTCCTTCAAGCAATGCAGCATCACCCAGCACCACTGAAATTCACATGTTTTACATCATTTTTCACTTCTATTCCCAAACATGGACTAACTTTTCAACATGCAGTGACAGCAGAGGTTTAACTCAAGGCAGGAGACCTGGATTCTCTCCAGTTAGCAGGATGCTTCAAGATTTCTCTGTTCTTAGCACTTCCTAACCTTTATCCTCAAGATTTAGGCCAGGGTTCAGGAGAATGCAGGGGATCACAAATTGCACCCAGGTGCCTGACTGGGCTGCATCAGCCCCAATACAGACAGGGAACACTCTAGGGAGAGCCAGTCCCTCTCTAGGCACAAGTGTGACACACACGTTTCCATCAAGGCATTCACACATGCACATGTCTCTGCTTCCAAGCCAAAGCAGAGCTGGTGGTTAGGGTGGTTTTTTGTTCAGCAGAGGAACATGCTCCCATGTGCTTGGAGACTGAGATCAAGGCTGGCTCCTACGGCAGCTGATCCGAACCCAGAGCTCTACTCAGACCAGCAACCACCATGTTGCAGAAGCCCTTCCCACAGCCAGGAAGTGGGTATGAGGAAATAAAAGGGCATCAAAATATAGCACCCCCTAGTTCCGGCTCATTTTGGAAGTCAAGTACTCAGGGTGATTATGCTCCCACAGCACTTTCTTCCCTGCTACAGATGGACCCTGTTCCAAGCACCAGTACAGCCTAGTGGGTCACGGTGGCATGGAGCTCCCTGTGGGGCAACGGTGGCAGCAGAAGAGCTGGCATCTCCCCTTCCCCCAGGAAACAGCACATCCCCCTGATTAGAGAGCACCCTCTGAGCTGCCTCCTTCCCCAGGATGTGGTACCACATCACTGACCTGCACTGGTGCTTGCCAAAATCTTGCTTGGGCTTGGCCAGTGCCTCTGTTCTTGGGGATGGTCGAGCTGTCAAAGCACCCTGCGAGAGGGTCCAAATCGTTTCTTGGTTTCCCCACACGAGCCTAGCAAGGACAGCAAGGGCATGAAATTTTAGAAACATGCACAAATGTGAAATGTGCTTACTGGGGTTATCCTTCTCTGCCTAGGATGGGACACACACAGTCCCTATGGTTCCCCACAGCTGTGAAGTGCCGCAGCCATCCCCTGAGCACTGACCTTCTCTGCCACTGAATTTCCTAACACTGTCCAGGTGGTTGTTGTCAACTCAAAAAGAAAAGAGCCTTCAAGCGGTGAGTCTGGTTGTACAGTTACCAGTAGAAGTGCAGAAAGTGTCGCTTCGTTACATCTCTGAAACCCCTGGGGGAGTTTCATGACTGCATTTTTCTTGCCTCACGATTACCACCTAACTATACCACAGGTATGACAGTAAAAATAATAATAATGTTACGGTCAGGGTGTGCCATGGAAAGTGGGTGAGGTTCTGCAGCACGTTAGTGGTTACTCTCCTGTCCCTACGGCAAATCTGGAGTTGCTCATCCCCCATTGAGAGAGAGGCCATAGTGGGAGAGGGTATCAGGGTAGTCAGGACAGGGAACAGCAGGGTGATGGGTTTGCGGAGACTTTTTCGAGCACAGACAGTGGAGAAGACATTACCAAGAGTCTATTGCCTTGAAAAGCCATAGCTTGACCGTGTAATGCAGATGGCAACTCCGTCCCTAAAGCTGGACTGTGTCCTCCAGGATACTGCAGCCAGTGGCTCCAACGAGGTCTGGTCTCCTTGCACCACAGCACCATCCCCAGTGGGACAGCTCAGCTGGGACAGCAAAGGCAAGACTTGGGTCAAGCCCAGTTTTTTGATTGAAAACAAGAAAAACCAAATCGAAGACAGCACCTCACGCACTGAACATCTCAGTCTGTTTTTTTGAAGCCACTTCTGCTCTTGAGAGGAAAGCAGTAGCAAGACAAAGCAAAGGGACTGCACCGGCTGAGGCCCCCATCAGTCTCCAGCCCTCAAGCTAGGGCTGCCTGGACACCTCCTTACCTGGGATCACTTGCACAAGCTGCTTTCTTGGGTTCTGCAAGTTCTTGTATCCTGCCAAAATTGCAGAAAAGGGCAAACATGCTGTTAACATACAGTTAAACCAACAAAGCATAAAGAAGCTACTGCTGTACTCAAAGCCATACAGCACGTCTTTGAACCCTCGTGCCTTTGCCTCCATCCCTTACGAGAGTGTGTTTAAGGGATCTCCTCTCTCCAAGTAACTTTCCATCCATTTAATCTGGTGAACTCACCAGCCCGTGGATTTTTGTGCTATCTCTTGGATTGCAGAGATGCAAATTTGCAACACTGCCCTTACTGCAGGGTCCCTTTGTGACATGGCAGGAAGAGGGGGGAAGGTACTTTTCTGGTTGATAACACGCCATGCAACCCCAGAAGGTACGAGACAGATGATCTCTCAGCTTACCAGAGCCCAGATGAACAAAAACATCTGTTATCAACACTCTTGTGGTTTACTAAAAGGCACCACAGAGACAGCATTGTTCCCACATGGCTTTAGAAGCACAGGTGAAGACTTTTTTTATTCATCATTTTATGTCAGTCCGTTTAGCACAGAGGTCTTAACAGGAATACATATAGTCTGTGCCCTAGTAGCAGCACTGAAAATGTTTTTACTGAATATTCATCAGACCAAAACCTTTCAGGAAGATCAGATATCAGTGTCTGCTCCTGCTGCTCAGGTGTCCCAGGCCTGAAATCCCCAGTGGCTGGGAAGAACTTGTGCTTTGTGAGCCTGGGTACAAAGAAAAGGACAAGACGACGCCAGTGCCGCAAGTGCCTTGCAGAACTCCCTGTAGTCACGAACCAAGCCCATACCCACCCACTGGCACTGCAGGTGTCTGCCCCCAGCCAGCTGGGGAACAACCACAGGATGCAGGCAGCTGTGGAAGTGACTCACCATGGAAAAAGCACAGAAGGTGAAAGCCTGGAGTGTTGCTTCCCTGCTTAGTATCACCCAGCAATAAGGCAACATAGCCCTAGAGAGGAGTGGGGACACCAATAGAGAGAGATGTTTGCTGACAGAAAACGGTCTATGCCTTGGGGGCCTCTCTGATGGGGCCAATACCTCTAGTGAGACACCGAACCCCAGTAAATGTTTGCCAGATTGCTCAGCACCACAGAGACCCTGGCAACGGCAGGCTGCTGTTAGAGCATCCTCACTGCATATGCCCTGCGAGATGCCTGCTGATTTATCTATCTCCCCGTCACACCTAACGGCCGGTCGCAATGCTGCAAACACAGAGAGAAGTGCCTGTTGGACTTTGGCCCCCTGCCACCAGTTCAAGACAGGACATGCTCAGAAAGGCAGCCATCATTTCAGGAGCTAAAAATCAGTTTCAGCTGTTCATTCTTAAATGGCTCCCCAGAGGCTTTTCCTTGCAAGGGTGCAAGGGGGTGAAGGATTACCACATGGAGGTCCCCCCCAAAACCTAGCTGCATCGCTGAGCTGGCACTACATCTGCAGGCAGGCTCCTTGATTTTCCTCCGCCACTGGCACAGATCCACCACATAGCCACAGCCAAACTCAGCACAAAGTGCACGTGGCCCCAGTGCCCCACACCGCTGGCTTGGACCCTGCTGTGCGAAGCTTGCTTCATGACCCAGCCAAGGAACGAGTCACGTGGGTGTCCACATCAGGTCCCTCACCTCACTTGACAATCGTTAAGTTTGTTTTGGGTTTTTTTCCAATTACAAAAAAGAGATCACTTCCTGCTCTTTTATCATGGCAAAAGCTCTGGACAGAGAGGTATCCAGACACAGGGTGCACCTGCAGCAGCTCTGCAACTTGAAGGAGTTAAGCCACCCCACTGACAAGCAGACAGCCCTGCCCATGTCCGCTCATGGTTCCCAGCAGGGAAAACAGGCCTTGTGTCAGCCAGACACAGGAACACCTCCCCTCCACTGCCTGCGCTCACACAGACTCACTGCCTAAGGGGGATCAACTCCCTTTGAGATCAATTCCTTAAAAAGCAAAGGATCACAGCTTCTGTTTCAAAAGGGCAGTAGTTGTTTGTCATGAGAAGCAGCAAGGAGGGCAGAACCAGGCATCATTTCCTCTGTGTGTTTACCACAGTGTCATCGGATACATGATTTGTTGCTTGGCGTAAATCCCCACCTGAGCCCTCCCCCAGAGACGTGGGGCGCGGCCTGGACACCCAGCCAGGAGGCCAGGGCTGGGAGGGTTTCTTACCTGTCATGAGAGCGTGCAAACAAGTAACAAGAAACTGCAAAGACAAGAAGAGGTGAATTTAAAAGCTTGGTAGCGCCTGCAGCCTGGGGTGCCTGCTCTTCAGCATGAAACAACCACAAGGCAGATGGAGCTTGTGCATCTCCTCAGGATGCAATTGCTTGGCAGTTATTTGTGCTGTTTCTCCCTGGTGCCCTCCTGGTGCAGCTCCTCTCCAGTGGTTGCTCCTCAGCAGGGGCAGAGTGCTGGACTGAGCATCATGTCCCCTCCCCAGCACCCTACTCCTGGGATGAGCACCGGCAGCCACTGCTGACTTGGCTCAGTATAGCCACTCCTTATTATCGCCTTCAATAACTTCAAGGGGACATTTTGAGACCTTCGGGGGAGTAGCAGCTGTGCTATACGGGGACTCCGTGGCAGTACAAAACAAGTTGCCACATTTTAAAGGGAGGACACAGGATAACCAGAGACGTGGCGACACTGGCACTGTGGGCAAACCAGGCACGATTTCAGGAAGCCACGTGCCCCGGTGGCGGCACCGACCAGCG